TAATGTTCGGCTCCGCCCGAACTTAGACTTTCTTACTTGTTTTAACTTTACTTTGGGCTTTCAAATAGAATGTTCATATTAGAGGTAATTGACGTTGGCATCAAATACAACATATCTGTGAAGTTTGAAGAGTGCTCCACGAAATTAAAAAAAAAAAAATGGCAGCATGCAGAATATCTGTCGCAGCTAATTTGAAATTTTTGAAATTTTACGATTTTTTTAATTTTTAATAATGTAAGATACTTCAAAATGTTAAAATTAGACCAGTGTCTCACCGAATGAAGGAAATTACACTGACTAAAAGGTGACTATGATTTGAGAAACTAAAATTCCATTTTTTAAATTTTTATTGGTGCACTCAAAATTCATTCTAAAATTGTTATATATGTAAAGTAAATAATATTTACATATGTGCATAAGGAATACTGTGTAAAACCGTTAAACGCCAATATTTAATTACTTTTAAATAATATGGCTTTAAAGTGACTGCATATGGTGGTGGTATACGTTACATACGAGAGTGGTTGTTTTTACTTTTTTAGTATATATTTTTTAAGTTTTAATATAAATACATTTTCGCGATGGAATCTTGTTCTTTATACAAAACTGAAGATAATGCATTTTTGAAGATAGGTGAATTCCCATTTTCAACCAAAAACACGTGTTTGTCGAAAAATGTAACAACTCGTGAGATTTGCTCATATATACACATATGTATACATGGTTACTTCCACTTATATCGCTTTTAAACAAATACATAAACACGTACATGCCAAGGTACTCTACTTTTTCTTGCTATTTATTTCAACTAAATTACACACATCCTTGCCGCAGAGAATTGCAACAAGTACTTAAAAAGCAAAACGAAAAAAATGCTAAATATTCAAACACAAAGCCGTAGTGGCACTTATTTATCAGAATATACATATGTATGCACACAGCAGTTCAAGGGGAGACGAAATGTGAATGAAAAGCACTTAAGCTGACTGCAGGCGCACAACGTCGCCCTTATGAAGAATAAAAGTCAAGCAGATTACGAAAAAATGTATGCGATGCAATGCCGAAAGAATGCAAAGAAATGCAACAAAAAGCAAGAAGTTTGCAAATGTTAATGGCAAAAACTAATGCAAGCAACGCGCGTGGAGAGGGAGTAAGCGCAATGCACTAAGTATGCGCTGAGAGAAAATGTTATCAGTGAGGCGGAGGTGGGTGATTGTCATTAAAAATATATGTAGATGCATAATCGTACATACTTACATAAAGTACAAAGATATAACTGCACATGCATACATATATCAGTGTAACTACATATATACATATGTACATACTTATAAATGTACTTCTGTATTTAAGTAAATATAACCTCTTTTTCTAACATAACTATATAGTACATATATTTACATCAGCATTAATTTAGCCCAGCTAACTAGTGTACGCTGTGGGAAGCTACTCAGTAGAGAACAATGCACTAATCGCTATAGATGGCGGCCAGTGTTGCCAGACATAAAAAAGCTAGGATTACAAAGCAAAAGATCTAAAAAGATTTAGATGTTTACAAAACAATTTAACCTTTGTTATTCTTCTTTTTTTCCTGCACCGCCTATGCTACTGAGTCCAAAAAGCAGGTCAGTCTTCCCTCTTTTTTGCCCCACTGATGCCAGATGGAAATGCCAAGTGCAGTCAGGTCCTTCACCACCTGGTTTTTCATCACAGAGTAGGCCTCCCTCTTCCACTCGTATGATTTTTTTTAAGCTGTATTTCAATTCGCAACACTATCATCATTGTAAATTTCATACAGTACATCGTTCCATCGGGTACGATACTCGCCGTCGACAACGTGCAAAGGTCCAATAGTTTTCCGCAGAATCTTTCTCTCAAGAACTTATAAATTCCAGTCGTTCGGCATGCGTTCATCGGACCATATTCTGCATTAGCTCCGGCAGCTTTGTTTTTTTTTCAGACGCCATTCATGCCTCATCATTGTCAGATGGTGGAACATCGATTCCTTCATCAACGACTGGGGGCACGGGAACGTCTTTTCCATAACTTTCAGCGCTGGTACCATATATTAGGGTGGAAAAGTGTTGCTTCCATAATTAAAGTATATTGTGGATATCGGTATCTAATTCGCCATCGTTGTTATTACATGAGTTCCCCTGGTCCTGCAACCTTCTGTAAGTCACCTAGGCCCCTGTAAAATTTTTGGGCGTTTTTCGGTCGGCCAGCATTTCATGAACTTTATACTCCCGCATTACGGTCTCTCTCTTCTTTATCCGCCAAACGCATCTCGCTTACCTCGTCAGCTCCCTATACTGGACTTACATAGGTTACGTTCCTTCAGATTTCAGTGAGGCCCTCTAGATTCCATCGTTCTTCTGTGAAGCTTCGTGACATTTCTCATCGTACCAGTTGTTCTTTCGAGCTCGCGGGAAATTGGTTCCACTACTCCCATATATCGGTTTGTTGAATAGTGGTCTCTATAGACAGGTATGAGAATTGAGAGGCGAATAAATTGGCCTTCTGTTGTGATTGCAGATTTTCGACGTTGAACTTTTCTTGCATTGTTGAACGCACATTTTATGCTAAAGATAGGCGGGGTCGTATGCTATTTCGCTGCACCAAGATAATGATCCGGGTCGATGTCTGGCCCTCGGAGTGTATGTACGTCGTGACTTCGATCTATCACAACATTATCGATTTGGTTTCTCATTATTCGAGGTGGATACAGCCAAGTAGATTGATGGATCTAAATCGCCGAGCATGATTTTGATATTGTGACGAGGGCAGCGCTCGTAAAAGAGATCCTTCAGTGCCTCCTCCTCTTCCGTCTGAGTTGAAGAGTCTCGCTTTGACACCGGTGTGAACGACAGTACTCGACGGCGGGGTCTCTCTTCCACCACAAATCCAACACCGCATTGCACTCCAGTAATTTCATCCTGATAAAATTATTTCGCCTAACTGAGCTCCTTGGCAGGCATTGGCCGTTCATTGACCTAGTCGGTCCTATTAAAGAAAAAATACACATAGCTAATTCGCAGTCCTTTCTCCTGTTCTATAGTCTTGAGAGCGGATGGGTGTATAAGTTTCATATCCTCTGCATTCTCCTCTAAGATAAGTCTTTGCTGAAAACATCAGAGCATTTACCTTCATTACAATTTGCAGAAGAAGCAGATCAAAACCATCACGAGAGCAGAGACGTCCCTGCAAAAAATTGTGCGACTCATCTCTAAAGAGAGTATTCCGAGATTCCTCTCAATCGGGTACAATTGGGCATTAATTAGTCGCAACTAGTCTCATACGGGTACTACTGGAGGTCAATTAGTCTCGACTCATCCCTTGCGGGTATAATTGGAGATCAATTCGTCCCCGACTCATCCCTAACGGGTACTATTAACGATTTAATGATATGTGCGCACTTAGTCAATGAAATTTCATGTGCGGCGTTGGCACACAGAGAGAATTCGGCTAACAAAACTGAGCACCCCGGTTCGAATCGCGGCTGGCGCAAATTTTTATTTTTATTTTTTAAAAGTGACTAGTCGCTTTTTATACCCGTTCGGGTATAAAGGTGAACAATTAGTCTCTTCATAGGACATGCTCGAACAAAAGCGATCAGTTCATTCCATATAAAGAGATCAAAAGTGGTATTAGTCGCATGCTCCTTTGCGATTGATCCCGGAGTCATCCCGGATTAGTCCCACTTTTTGCAGGGGTAGTTGTAATAGTTCTCATCGCACCAGTAATGCTTACGCAGGCTAGTGCTTGGGGTTTGCAGTAGGCAATTAAAATAAAACTTCAACATTTATAAATAAAGAAAAGTAAGTTAAAATCCAACTTTTTGGGCCATTGAGAAAAAATCACCCAATGCAGGCTACAAAATGGCAACACTACTCTTAGCGAAGCTAGTGTCTGAGCCACAATGTTGCGGTGGGTCATGGTTAGCCTAAGTTGGTTGCATGAAATGAGGGCCGGCGGATATTTTTTTCGAGTCGAGTTGTGTTGATGTGCATATGAGTGTTTGTGGGGAAATTTTTTCTGGCATTGTATAGAGCAATTGCACGCCAGCAGCTATGCAGTGGGTAACATTTAGAAGGAGGCGCGGTGGAGTAGTTGTGGCAAGTCAAAGAGTGGGGTCACTGGCTGCTACATACCTGTGGGAGGCCGATGTATTCACTGAATGTGCGCTCGAGAAATGTAATTAATTGTGCAATGGTGACATCGGAGAAAAAGCAGCGTTGCCACTGATGTGCATTTAAAATGATAATGAGATAATTCTAATGATGGCAATATTCTTAATTATACCATGGTGTATTACATACTTAGAACGTGCATATGTACATATGTATGTGAGTGATAAAGAAAGAGAGAAATGTACAGGTAGGGCTAGGTAAGATGGGGCAACAAGCGAATTGCCGTTGCAAGTGCGACTTTAATGCATAAAATCTAAGAATTAATGCGCGCACAAAGATAAAATCAACAAACAAAAAGAGAGAAAGCAAACAAATTAAAACGGATAAGTATGGGTAAAGAAACAGAGACTGTTGATTTTTTGAAATAAAAATAAAAGAATGCAATGAAAGAATGCATTATATGCAAGTTAAGTAGAACATACATATATAAAGATAACAAGAAGAAAATGCAAAATCAACAAGCGCAACAGGTAGACAGAAACTTTTTTACATACATACATGTATACATATGTATGTACGTATAAACAAAGAAATATACACAGGAATGTTTTTTATAAGTGTGTATCACACGCTCATTGTGATGGCCCTTTGTGTGGCGCGGCTGACCGCAGAGCGCCTCACAGCTACATATATAATGCAATGAGCTCGAGAGCCGCTATCGCGTTAGTACCTGTTGAACGTTGACTGCTGCGCGCATACGTAGCATGACAAATGTCTCCAAACTCTCCAATAGCACATTGGCTATAACCCGTTTTTGCACTTTTAGCGGCGGAGACTTGGCCGAATGCCCACATTGACTGTCTCTGGCTCTAAAAATCAGCGCGATTGTAGCTAAGATCAGTTAATAAACGAGGTTCAGTGCGAGCGCATCGTAACGGGCTGGAAGAGTAGTTACGGTATTGCTACCGAGGCGCGACGACGTGAAGTGAGAAGAAAGGGGATGCGCTTTGGCTTCAATCATCAATTTGATATCGAGTGAAGAAATAAGTCGAAGTTAAGAATAGAGAATTGTTCCAGGCAAAGTGAAGCTTAACTAAAAAGTTAAGGCCAAGTGCAGTGCGTTGCGACGATATCGAAGAAAATAGAGAAAAAAGAAGCTGCAAAGAGGTCTGTGCTAAGTGCGGTAGAAGAAATTTTTCAACTGCCAAAGGCACGTATACTTGTTTTCGTTTTTTTTTTGATATTTTATTTTAAAAAGAAATATATGTACATATTTGCATATTTTGCGACGAAACAACAACGAAAGACTAATTAAACCCATAGATAATAGAGCTTAGTTGCCAACGACGACGAATAAACTTCTGAGTAGAAAGGTGTACGAAGAAATATCAAACAAGCATTTGACGAAAGATATATGTAAAAAGAAGTTTTATGTGCTCGTAGATATGAAAAAATGCGGCATAATCCGAGCACAAGCAAACAAAGAAATAAATCATACAAGAAAATTCGAGTCAAGATTCTTGCATATTAATTAATTAGGCACATAAATCAGTGCACAGAGAACGATATACATACGTAGCTGGGCGATAACGAATTGTTAAACGAATGAAATAAATAAGTATAAAAAATAAACGAGAATGCATTTTTTCTTTGCTTAGAAGAATTCGCTTAAAACCTATAAGTTATTCTAAAAAACTATTTGTTGGTGTTGACTGATTTTTGTGACATACACATATTTATACATTTTACGATAAAAAAAATTATAAAAATTCTGACGAATAAAATTCCTAATAGCTGACAGTAGAATTGCAATAAAAACGAGAAAAAAAGTGTGAGAGCATACGAAAATACATATGTATGCACCGGCATACATATACATGTACCCACTACTAAAATTTAAAATATTCAACGAAATAGTGAAAAAAATATAATAAGCATACACCTAGTATCTATACAAAAAAAAAAAATCTAAGAAAACTTGCTGAAAAATAATTTGATCAATCAAGTGACGAAAGCAGCAATTTAGTTGAGTGAAGTAACTTGAAGACACGGCTAAAAATAAAACCAAGGAATAAACGCTGAAGAGTATTGCAAGACAAAGACGAAAGTCACATAACCGGATACGATATTACAACGAAAAAATAAACAACGATAAACAAAAAACAATATACACACACACATACATACGCAACTAATACATGCCTTCGTACCTGTGCATGTGAAATTCCTGCACGAAAGAAGATCTTAAACACCTACGTACATACGTATAAATCCTATTTGCCCGAAAGCAATCTAAGAAATAAGAACGAGAACACAAAAACTGCTTATCAGCATAAACTCTTCACACTGGCACTTAAACGTAGCATAAACATACAATTCTCCAACTGGAATAACAATCATATAACACCTTTCACACACCGATGCTAAAGCAGCCAAATAAACGACGATATATTGACCAACTGGTATATCGAGAAGCCAATCATCTGCTATTGCCATTGAAAGGAAGAGTAAAGGAATTGAGCGCGTTGACGTTCGGGCAATCTGCAATAAAGCCTTTGGAAAAAAGTGTGTACATTTTGCTAAGCAACTATTATTTTTGAGTTTTACTTGCATACATACTTGCATTTGTTATGAAATTTATGTAGAGTTTTTATTGTACAATTTATTTCAAAATTATTTAGTGCCGTTTTCTCGAATAGGTTTTAAACTTAGCTTGAGCTGAAAACACACATTTTTTTAGAACAAAATTTTTGGTTAAGGCATATGCATTTTAAAACCTACTTGACAAAATCAAAAGGTCTCGTCAAGGCTTATGACTCGAAAGAAACTCTTTTAGTTGAAAATTGCAATGTTTATAAACCTTTCTCACCACATATTAATGCTGATAAGCTGGTGTCTATCCCTTTTTTCCTGAGTCGTCCCAAATTTTCTGCCAGATTTGCCAGCGAGATTCGACTGTATGTTTATGTATATGTCCCTACATATTTACCTGCTCGTCGACTGATTAGAATGCTGCACGAACTGCCAAAACCCAGTGTGCCTCTTACTTAAACCAGCGGCAAAGGCTTGGAGCCATTGGAAACGCAAAGCTTCCAAACCATTGGTTCCATCGGTATATCCATTTTGGCGCTGAAACCGTTAACCAAAAAGGAGAAAACTATTTCGCCAAGGCATTTAAACTGTCAAAAGCAGTCTTAATCATTCCTGACATGTTGAAGCCCAGACGGGTAATCGCACCATTACTGAAGCCTGAGAAATCGTTGAGTAAAGTCGATTCTTATCATCCGATAACTTTCGTTTCGCCACTGGCCAATAAATTTGAGATCTCGCAGGTCCTTTACTAGGTGGGCCAACTAAACCCGGCAGTGCAGGCAGTGTGCTGTACGGTAACTTTCCCTACAATACCTGGTGCTGTTCTGGATGCACTGTCAAGCCTACAGTCACTTAATACTTTTATACATAGGAAGGGCCATTCGGCCTCTTGTAGGCTTATAACAGATGGCTGCTGTTATAATACTGGATGCAGTGGGACGAAAATTGCTGCAGGCAGAGATTTACACTCGAATTTCTGTTCAATGCTACAGGACAGTACGCCACTGTTTCCTTTGCTGAAAGATACTACAATTTAGAGTCCCTGGGGCCGAGTGCTGGCTTAACCCGAATACTGTAGCACAGGCTAAGGAGTCTATATCAATAGTGAAGGGAACAATATTCACTTTTTGTCTTGGAGAACATGCTTCGGTATTTCAGGCCGAGATACTTTAGACTGAATTAAAAAAATTAAAATTAAATATCAAGGCCCTGAACACGTTGTGAGAAATAGGAGGAGAAGCATCAGTTTACGTGTCTGTAGTGACAGCCAAGCTGCACTGGTGTGGCAATTCTCACAAGTCTCGAATAAACGAATAACGAACATGTTTTACTCTGGGTGCTAGGTCACTCGGGAATATCTGGTTATGAGGCATCTGACCATTTGCTCAGAGAGGTTGAATATTTCGCTCAGAAATGGCTTGGAAGGCCTGCAAGATGAGCAAACCTCGTGTTGCCCTCAATCTCAGAGAGTCTGTCTAGGTATTTGCTTTCATTGACCAGATAGGACTGCAGCCAATTTGGAGGAGTTTTGAGTGGTTACTGCTCATGGCATAAACACCAGACTGTGATGGGTATAAAGGACAACCGCATTTGCTTTTTCTGCCTCGAAGAGCATGAGACGGCGGAACGCTTTTTGGGATTTTGCGAGTTGAGCATCTGAGCTTCTAGAACACAACAATCTGTAGATTTAAAAATGATATAAATGGATCACGAAAACAATATGTACAATAGAAGGCATGCAGTCTGAGTACTGTTCTTGCTGTTTGCGCGCGATGTTGGCATTGGTAATATTATTGATCGCCTGTGCACTGCAAGAATCCTTACTGCTTCCCTTCATTAACAGCGACATTATAATCACAAGATGAACGATTACACAGGTTTACAAAAAAAAAAGCTTATGCATATTAAACCAAACTTATATATCCCTATGTTATTCGACACGCTGAATGCGAATCCGAAGTCCGTTAGTCTCCACCACGTCAGGTTCGTGGTCAGTTGAAGGTCAAGTAGGGAAAGAATTCGTTGAATAAACCTGAAAATTCACATACATAAGGTTTTACATTCGCTGAACCCGAATCCGAGATCCGTTAACCTATATAATGTCAGCTTCGAGGTCATTTGAAGGTCAAATAGGACATAAAATTTATTCAATAAAAATTAAAAAAAAAAACTTTGTTTTTGTTGTCACTGAAACCGAGTATGGAGGTCCCTTGATTCCTCACGGTCATCTGTCATCCCAAGTTAAAATTCCGATGAATTTTATTGAATTTTCAGGTTTATTCAATGATTTTTTCCCTACTTGACCTTCAAATGACCACGAACCTGACGTGATGGAGTCTAACGGACCTCGGATTCGCATTCAGCATTTTTTTGTAAACCTGTGTTATTAACACAAATAACTTTTGTTAACTTGCTCTCCTACCGATGCTGCATCACTATGGCCTCTGCGGTATAGCACTTAAGGCAGAGTGTAGGTAGTTACATACCTTCTAGAACACTGCCGCCCATATAGCCACAGGATTCCTTCTTACGTCTCCAGACCATCACCTCCATAGCAACAACGTTATGCTTCATAAATAGTTTTTGTTTGGTTGTTCCTACAGTCATAGTATATAGACATGCCTTAAATAACATTCACCGGTAGATATTCACCAATTCCTGAGCTTTCACGCTGTGAATGCCTTAATACGAATCTAATCATCAGCTACAAAAAGGAAGAGCTGAACCTAACTCATAAAACCCACGCCACTCACTTATGGACAGTTGCGATCTGGAGATCTTAGCAGATCAAACTCTTACATATCCAGATTCAACCCCAATATACCCAACAAACCCAACATCTATCCAACTTTTAAAGTAACCCCGCCCGCCATCATCGCACAAACCTCTTACTTCGGTCTCACCTCGTTGAAATGGCGCGTTTCCTGGATCTACCGTTGGTTCAGCTAGACGACAACGGATAATAGCTTAACCGATCTGTACAGGGTTAAATAAGCCGCGGTAACAAAGACAAAGTTCATCCCTCTGTAAAAGAACCGCTGTTTTGCTATACTGAGTACCAGTGTTATTAGTGTATCTAATTCTAAGTAGATGGGCACATCTCTCTCTCTCTCTCTCTCGCAAATATAAATCTGGGTCGTTCCTGTTGTCGTGGGAACGAAAAAAAATTGCTTTAGGGTGGTATTATCACATGCGAAGCGAATGACTTTGGCGAAGAAAACTGTGAATATAGTTGTCACAAAAAAAAGAATGAAAAGTATCACAAAAATCGATAGTGAGCAGTGTAATCTGTAACAAAATTTTGGCATTTTTTGGTGGAACTGAGATTCAAAAAAACCTCCAACAAATCTGACCGCGTTTTCTTGAATGCATTAACCAGTAATGCTGCATAATTTATTCTATNATGCATTAACCAGTAACGCTGTAATTCAATCTTCAAGATCTTATTATCTTGATAAATACGGCCAGGTGATGGAACAACTTACACATTTTCTGGATCCCTCTTCCACCCAATACTCGACTGTGCTTTGAAGGCTTACACAGAGGATTTTGAACGATATTGCAATCGGCCTAGAAAAAAATATATTAAAAAACTCAATTTCGCAGCTTTTTAGGACATGACTACGCAGGTCTAGTGGTCATACAAGGAATTTTGCTAAGCGGAACTCATACGGTGAAAGTTAGGCCATTATATCATGCGCCTCTTCTTTCAAGATGTTTTAAATTCAAACTAAAGAAGCTATTGCTCAACCTTACCTTCGCTGAACATCATTTGGAGAGAATATAACTAATTCGGTAATTGATGTAAGCGTGCAAATTTTTAAGCAAATAGTATAAATTTGCATACATATTCGTAAAGCAGAATGCCACAATCATAAATATTACCGATATCAACAACTTAAATAAATAACATCAACAAAATTACAGAAACAAATGTATTAGCGGAGAAGATAGCAAGAAAGACAAACTTAACGCCAAAATGTAGGAGCAAAGAGTGTCACTTAAGTGGCAAATTAGCGAAAACTTTTGCAAACTAATTTTTGCCATGGAAATAAACTTAAATTAGCAGCGCCA